GCAGAGGGACGGGGGGTCCTGGCCCCCGGCTGGGGCCCAGGGGCCAGACACGCCAGGGCCCCTGCGGGCTGTGTGCCCTGCCTCCCCCACTCTCTGCACGGGCAGACCCCAGTGCTGGGCAGAAGGGGTAGCGGGAGCTGCCACCGTCTGTTTGGGCTGGCATCGGGGCAGCCCCAGGGAGGAGAAGGGGAGCGAGACCCCCCGCTCCACGGCCTGGCCGTGCAGCTCAGTGCACAGCTCCCTCCAGCTGCCCGTGCCCCAGCACGGGGCTGCAGTTGACGTGGCCACCACTGCTCGTCTGGCAAGCTCTCCCAACCCCAGGGCCCTGGTACGTGGCTGATAAGGAGCCGCACCCTAATAACTGGTTCAGATTTGCTCGTGGACTCTTGTCCTTGTGGCAACGTCAGCCCTCAGCTCGGGCTGCTCTCTGCCCTTGCTGTGCGATGGCAGTGACTGCCTTCCCACTCCTGCCTGGCCTTTGTTGGTGTGGACAAGCAGAGCAGCTTGACCTCCCTCCCTGGAGCTCCCCTGCCCACACCTGCCCTGAGGGTCTCTGTGGGGCAAGGGCATGAGCGTTGGGGTCCTCTGGCCCCAAAAGACTCATGGGTTTCTCCTCCCGCAGCGCTGAGTACCCTGATCTACGGAAGCACAACAACTGCATGGCCAGCAACCTGACGCCAGCCATCTATGCCAGGCTCTGTGACAAAGCAACCCCAAATGGCTGGACCTTGGACCAGTGCATCCAGACAGGTGTCGACAACCCCGGCCACCCCTTCATCAAGACTGTGGGCATGGTAGCTGGTGATGAAGAAACCTACGAGGTGAGCGGTGGCTGGAGCCCTGCTGTTCCAGGCTCTCCAGGGTGCCTGCAGCAGCCAGAGGAGTCCCAGTATCTGCAGTACATCCAACATCCTGGGATGTTACTGCCCACCTCCTCCTGCCCAGCCGGGGCAGCTGGAGGGGCCCCTTGGCCAGCCCCAGCCTGTCCCTGAGACACAGGGCTCCTTCAGATCAGCTGTTCCTAGAGCCCTGCAACCTCCTCCTCCTTGCCCCTGAGCCCCACTTGCCCGGGCAGCGTCGGCCCTGTGGATTGCCATTGCATTGCAGGATGTGCCATGGCCCCCAGCCAGCCTCTGTGGCCCGCCTGCTGCCGTTTGCGGGCAGCGGGACTGCGCCGAGCTTGTGGCAGGGCTTCGTGGGGTGCTGGGTCTGCAGTGCTGCACATCATCCCACTTGCTTCCAGGTGTTTGCTGACCTGTTTGACCCCGTGATTCAGGAGCGGCACAACGGATACAACCCCCGCACCATGAAGCACGTCACAGACCTGGATGCCACCAAGGTGCGTGAGCCGGGTGCGTGAGCTGGGCAGCGGTGCTGCACATGGGTGCCCTTCTCCCCCGTAAGCACCCCATGGCTCATGTCTGTTCCAGATAAAATTTGGCCACTTTGATGAGCGCTACGTGCTCTCGTCCCGGGTCCGGACTGGGCGCAGCATCCGCGGGCTGAGCCTGCCGCCAGCCTGCACCCGTGCGGAGCGGCGAGAGGTGGAGAAGGTGGCCGTGGAGGCGCTGAATGGCCTCACTGGAGACCTGGCTGGGCGGTACTACCGCCTCAGTGAGATGACGGAGAAGGAGCAACAGCAGCTCATTGATGTGAGTTGGTGCAGCTCCCGGCCAGCCACCCCGGGTGCCCACGGAGCAGGACCCCTTCTCTGGCATTGCCTCTCCGGGAGGCCATATCATCCTTTCCCAGCCCCGCTGCCCTGTGAGACCAGGACCCCCCTTCC